CTACTCCTGCCACTGCCCTGACTGGTACCTGGGTGAAAGGTAAGGTCTGGGCAAGCTTCAGGCCGGGTGATCTCCCATGGTGGGCTGAAAACATGATCTCTGCCAATGAGCATTGCACTTTTCTGGAGCTCACCGGACGCTCTGGCTTTAAGTGCAAATTGCATGAGCATTGCAGCAGGGAAGTGTCCAAAGGCAGAGCTGAGCAGACCAGGGCATAAATAGCTCTGCCATCATGCGGTCACTGCCCCTCTGTGCCCATCTCCTCTGAGCAGGAAGGAAAAAAAAAAAAAAATCTCCTCTCCTCACAGATGCTTTGAATGCCTGCAGATGTTATGCTTGGTGCAGGTTCAAAGCCTCTGCTTGCGAGGGGAGAGTCTCTCCCCACACGCTGCTCCTCCCCGTGGTGTGTGATGAGCTCGGCTGCGATGGTGGCATCCTCCTTGAGGCCAGGGCTGCCTGGGGGCAGGGTGTGGGCAGGCACTGCACTGGGTGGCAGGAGAATGCCCTGAGGCTGGGGGGAGGCTGGCTAGCACAGTTGCAAGCTGCCCCCTCCCTCGGCAGCTGGGACACCCACCCTGGGTGCTACAGGGGCTGTTTCTGCCCCAGACCAGCTCTGCAGGGCTCATCCAAAGGGAATTTCTGTCACAGGTCACAGCCACGATTCATCCAATTCAAACCTCAGTTCAGGATATTGGGCTACGCTGAAAAGCAGGGTGCAGGATGCCATTCCCCCTCTCCTGTCAGATAGCCTATGGACCCCCGTTATCACGAGGTGTTGGAGTGTTTGGCTTTGGCCCTGAACCCTACGGTTCATATCACTTTGAAGTTCTCACCATCAGTGTTACAGCTTGGATACCTTTCCCATATATGAAATGTCAGTGCATGCTTGCCAAATACCTGCAGCTAGAGAATTAACCCAGGCCCAGAGGCTGCTCTGCTGCTCAGCAGTTACGCGCCGCAGCCACGCACCCCCTCCAAGCCCCCTGCCCTGCCTCCAGCCCAGCCTGATGAGCGATGCCCAGCACAGGCTCAAGCAGCATCACGTCCAGTTCATCCTTCTGCCTTAGTCATTTAGCCAGGATGAACAGCGGTCCTTTGAATCAATGCAAAGGCAGGAATTATTTGTGCAACTCTTGGAATATAAGTATGTAGCTGAGCATTAGGTGGCAATGTAATATCTGAAATCACCGGTCGTCCAGCCAGAGCCTGTGGGTGCATGTTGCACGCACCAGCTCACACATCCTAAAACACTGACTAAGAAACAGGAGGAGCCCAAACCTCACAGAGTTTGTTCAGTAGCAAGAAAAAAAAGGAAGGAAAGCCAACAAAGCATTGCATATTCCCCCTAGCACGGGGAGATCATTACTGTTGGAAGGAAAGGTCCCCTGTACTATTGGGGAATGTTTAGGTTGTGTGGGGTGGAGCAGGACAGAGAATCAGAAATCCAGTCTCAGTTCTGCAGATGCTCCATAAAATTCCAGAAAAGCCTCTCCAACAAGGATGCCCATTCACCACTTCTCAGGCTAGATGTTCCCCAAATGTTTGCTGCAAGCTGCAGACATCCACTGATCACCCTGAGACCCCACAGAGCCTGGAGGACATATGAGACTTCATAAGAGGTTAAGACATCTCAGAGTGAGCCTGGGCTCCCTAATTTAACAGGATGGGAGCATCTCTCTATGCAGTGTTAGCCCTAGAAACTCCAAATACTCCTCTGAGGCAGGAAGCCCCCCCATTTTAATTTGTTGCACATGACTGAAAAATAGGACCATCCTGTAAAACATGGTCTCCTGAAAAGTGTCACTTTATACTCAAGGATCACGGTCCTCTGCCAGGAGAGGCAGGTAGCACAAGTCTAGCAAGAGAGGGAGAGCAGACCAGGATGGAGCATCCTTGTCCCTGAATAGGATTACGCAGTTTTAGCTGCATCCCCAGGCTAATGGTGGTCGTCTCCATCCTGTCCCCACCACAGGTGCGAGAAGCTGGCCGAGGAGTGCCAAGATAACCCATGCCGAAACGCAGGGCGCTGTGTGAGCAACCAGGGCTCCGTCCATTGCATCTGCCCATCGGATTACCAGGGGGACTACTGCACACAGCCCATCATCACCCCTGCCATTGTGCCCACGCAGTGGGCGGTGGGCCCCGAGGAGATCGCGGCGATCGTAGCCGGCGTGCTGGGGGTGGCCATCCTGGTCGTGGCCTTCGTGTTCATCCGCAAGCGCTACTGCCACCGGGCCAAAGCACACAAGCCCGTGGCCCGGGAGGACCCCGACCTGCTCTCCAAGAGTGAGTTCTCCAAGAGTGTGGGTGTGGGCACCCAAGCCGTGCCACCCATCGAGCTCAACATCCTCAGCGATGCAGCACACAACAACCTGGACCGGGCCACGCCAGAGCAGCGCAAACCCACCAGCACCCCCGAGTTTGTTACCTTCAACTCAGCCAATGCCCCAAAGCACCGGGGCACCATCGTGTGCAGCGTGGCACCCAACCTGCCCCCTGCTGCACCCCCCTCCAACTCTGACAACGAGTCCTTCATCAAGTGCACCTGGGCCAGGGAGGAGATGGGTCAGTAGCCACAGCATTTTCTTGCTCTTACACATCCCTCTTCCCCCTGTGAAGTGGATCAAAGGTTTGCAAACTTGAGGGACCAACAGCATTGCTTAAAGCCAAGCAAAGCACAGGCAAATGTTGCCCAAGCCCTGCTATAGGTCCTTTATTGCCTTTTCCCTCCCTGCTCACCAGTACATCCCAGTTTTCAGCTTTAACTTGCTCAGTCTCGTACACAATCAGCAGGGAAACCATTAATGCATAGCCTGGATTCCCACACATCCTGGGTCAAAAGACCCTATAAAAGAGAATAATGAAGCTAAGGGGAAAAAATTAAGAACCTAAAAGTCAGCGTGAGTTTTAGTGGAGGCATTTACATCAATGCTCCTAGGCAGAGGGATCACACCCTCAGGGAAACACCTTGCAGGGCCCCGGACAGCAAGGTTACTGCTTTCTCCCCATGCAGGAGTTCATCACCAAAGGATGCTGTTAGAAGAGAGTTCACCCCAGTAACTACAGAGAAAGGGAGAGATCCAGTGGATCACTTGCTCTGCCCCCATCCCTTCATCATGCAAGCTTCTCGCATCCAGATGGCATGATGAAGTGTGTCTTTTGGGTGCTAGAGCAGGGGATGCGCCGGTGCAAACACTGCCCCGGCACAGCCAGGGGTGCCCTCAGGTCCCCTCAATTCCCAAAGCAGCAACTACAACTCCCCTGTCCTCATGTCTCCTCTCTTCCCTGGTCTGCCACATCTCCTGCAGGCTGAGTCTACAGAAGGAATTAGCGGGAGGGAAAGGGGGAAAACAACAGCTTGAACTGCAGCTAATACAACTCTGTTTTATTCCAGTCTACCCAGCAGAAACAACCTACTGGCCCCCCCGGTACTTGTCATCAGATGTCCAGGAATATTCCCACTACGAGATCATTCAAGGCCCCCCCGCGTCCTCCTCCCACCCTCCTCTCCCCCCACCGCCCCCTCCACCCGCAGATGCGGAGCCAGCCGCTCCTTACGGGCCGCCCCCTCCACCTGCAGATGCGGAGCCAGTCGCTCTTTACGGGGGCTTTCCCTTCCCGCTGGACCAGAGCAACAAGCGGGCCCCCATCCCGCCCCGCTACAGCAACCAGAACCTGGAGGACTTCTTGCCACTCAGCCCCGTGGACATGGGAGCCTCCCAGTGCCAGAACGAATATACAGCCATCAGCTACTACCCAGCCCAGCTGGTGCAGGGCGAGGGCATCCCATACCAGCCCGACCCCGGCTACAAACGGGTGAGCATGCGCCTGAGTGTGGCCCAGCCCTCCTACGCGGACTGCGAGGTGGGCCACCAGCCCAGCATCCGAGCCCAGCCCCTTCCACCCCCCAACTACGAGGGCTCCGACATGGTGGAGAGCGACTATGGGAGCTGCGAGGAGGTGATGTTTTAACGGGGTGCTCATCCTCGAGATGAGAAGCACATCTCCACGCAGAACAGTGTGCAGGGGGCTGGCACATGCCACCGAAGGGAGGCTTACGTGTCCCCCTCCCAGCTTGCGGCATCTCCCCCTGCACGGCTGGGTTGTAATTTGGCTGGATCTTTCCCCCCGCTGCCCTCCACGGTGCAAACGGAGGGGAAACGCTCCAGCCACTGCTGGGACACGGAGGATGCTCCTGGGATGCCAATGACTAACCTGCCTCCTTGCCAAGGGGACTTCCTCTGACACTGTGCAGGACCACAGAGTGCCGTCTCCTCCCACCCCAGACTCCCCGGCCGCAGGGAGGAGGAGGAGGAGGGCAAGCACTGCAGGCATGGCAGCAGTTGTGGTGGAGAAGGTGCAAAAGGACTAGCGATGCACAGCCTGGGAGTGCCCCAGGTGGGACAACAGAGGCTCCCTGCCCCCAGCTCTGGCTCCAAGGGCTTGCATTGAGCCAACAGTTTGCCCGGTGGAATGGATCAGCTGATGCAAACCCTCTTCCATGTCTGCTCCCCAACACAGGGAAAGAGATGAGGGAACGCAGCTGGTCCCGTCAGCATGTCCCTCACTTGGCCAACAGAAGTCCAAGGGCGGGGGGGGGGGGGGGGGTTTTTTTCTTGAGAAAAAAAACCAAGCAACAGGCTTTGTCGCACCAGGAACCACCCGCAGACTCAAACCAGTGCAGCTAGCAGCAAAGCAAGACCCCTGCCCAGTTGGGCTGCGCTCGTGGGAGTAAGGGAGACCCTGCCCCAAGGATGCGAGCACAGACGTGTCCCCGTGGCTGGCGCAGTCCCATGCTGAATGCAGCAGCACATGGTCCTGCCACCCAGCTGGGGCTCCCCGGTGTATCCCAGAATGACTGGCCAGCACTGCATGGTGTTTCCTACCTGAGACGGGGCACCGAGGCTATCGAGTGTGGGTTTGCCTGTATGTGCTCGTGCTTGGGAATGTATCGTTTCTTCATGAGAGATTTTCTTTGGTTGGTTGTTTGATGTAACTTTTTTGTTGTTGATTTTTGGAAAGTATTAAAAGAGTTTGGATTTTTTTACTCTTATGATTTTACTCGATAACTCAGGGATTCCCTTGTGTATTGGGTTTGTGTGGCAAGGTTTTAGTAGCAGGGAGGCTACAGGGGTGGCTTCTGAGAAGCTTTCCCTATGTCCAACAGGGCCAATGCCAGCCGGCTCCAAGACGGACCCGCCGCTGGCCAAGGCCGAGTCCATCAGCGATGATGGTAACGCCTCTGTGATAATGTATTTAAGAAGGGGAAAAAAAAGAAACTGCACTGCAGCAATTGCAGCCGGAGAGAGGAGTGAGAATATGTGAGAGAAACAACTCTGCAGACACCAAGGTCAGTGAAGAAGGAAGGGGAGGAGGTGCTCCAGGAGCCGGAGCAGAGATTCCCCTGCAGCCCATGGTGAAGACCATGGTGAGGCAGGCTGTCTCCCTGCAGCCCGTGGAGGTCCACGGTGGAGCAGATATCCACCTGCAGCCCGTGGAAG